CCGAGGAGGATGGCTTCATCAATATTTGGCAGCTTAACATTGCAGGCCTCTCGTCCGTAAAAAGATTGCATTTGCTGCGCGACTGGAGCAGCGTCCATCTGACACCGTTCTTCTGCAGGAAATAAGTAACCGTGGTGACGTAGCGACAACATGCTCTGGCCATAGTGACTAACTTCAGGCCGCACTGGGCGCGGTGGTGGCGTTGCCGTTCTGGTGCGCCACTCTCTGCCGTGCGAGTGTCTGTCGCTCCCTGGCACCGACCTCCTGGAGACCATTGCTGTCCGTGTATTTCCACCGGGCTGTCGCAGCATTTGCGTAGTGAATCTCTACAACCCCCCACGGAAACTGTTCAAGAATCAGCATTTATTAATATCGTTCGTCGCTTGGACCCGAAGAGATTATCGCGGGTGACCTGAATTTACATCGTGAACTCTGGGACAGTCATATATACCATCAAGGACTGGAGGCGATAATTTCGCCGCTATTTTAATCGATATGGATTTTGGGCTGGCAAATTACCCGACGCAGGCAACACGGATCACACATCGTAATGTCTCGTCCCCTGACGTGACTGCGTATTGCGCCCTACGCATTTCCCACTGGGCATCCGCCCCTTACATGGACTCGGACCACTGCTGAATATCTTACTTGGTAGAGATGGACGATGGGACTCCACGACTAGCAAACACGCTGCCTCGGCGGAAGAAAGCCACCCTTGCCCTGCGCAAAGCGCACTGGCCTGCTTCCACCTCGTTGTGTGAAACTCTCCTTGCCGCCGCGTCCACATGGTTGGACATCCGCAGAGGTATCGTGCGAGCAGCTGAGCGCCATATCCCGCGCGGCAGCCGTGACAGCCCCAAAAAGATATGGACTCACGAAATGGAACAGGCCGAGCCCGCCGCCGAAGCAGCACACGAAGCACACACATTGCCTCACCCGGAGACAGCCTGCTTCGAGCCGAATGTACCCGAAAAAGGGAGGAACGGAATCAAGCCTTACGCCGTGGCTCCGCTGTGCTTCTGGAAGCCCGCGCGAAAAGACTTGGAGCCTCACCCAGCCCGAGGTGGCGATATCTTCACGGCGTGGCGGCGCCGCACCCTCATCCTCCGCAATCGGTTGTGCTCCGCACTGATCCTCGGACCGCGTATGCGCTCTGCCTCGGCAACAGGCAAATCTGCTTGTTCGTCATCTTGTGCGGGTTTCACGTGCCATACCGCCTTATACTGCTGCTGCTGCTGCTGCACTCCTTTGGTTCCTGGTGGCTGGGAAATGGATCGGCCTTTCCCGCCGTATGAACTTGACGTGGCCATCCGCGACTCTTTGCTTGGCTCAGCCCCTTGCCCCGACAACATGTTGAATGAATTCCTGCACCGTCACGGGCCCGTTGCGCGCGGCACAATTAG